AATCGTTCACGGCAACGCAACTCAACAGGCTGCGCTCGCTCAGATCGCGAGGTACCTGAACATTAGAGTGGCTATCAAAGCGAGTTCCATCGAATGGTCGTGAAGAATTCGATTTGACCTTTTGAGCCTTTCAAGTCCCATGAATTTATGCACCAATTCGTTCCGATTAACAGTTCAATTTGTCGTTACCACTTGAAGATGACCTCCGCGAATGTCGCCGGCCTTCGAGAGTGGTTTCGCCCCGCTTGAATCATGTGATTACCTTACACACCGTACATTCTGATAAAGCACTGTCTCCGTCATAGATAGACCAGTGGGGCCGCCCAACTAACGCCGGACCTGCCTCCTTCTCATGATAGAGTTGTAATAATCAACAAATGACCCGCTCTTTCTTTAACCGATAATTGTTCTCGGAATACGAAACTTGTCATAGGACTAAAAGAGCATTTTAGTGGTATACAGCATGTGCCGACGCTTACGCCCATAATTGCAAGTCTCGATCTGCTACACTTCATATTGAAAATATTACCCATTGAGGGTTCGACTGCGCCGCATTGAATATTTCCGCTCCCGAAACGCCCCTTACGGGCGGTGTGCACTCTAGCCACACACCATCAGTGTTCCCATCTTGCCTCCTGTACTCCTACCGAAATTAAGCGCTACAGGCCCAATTTGACATTTTTGCGCAAGCTTCGCCTCCTGTGGGCGAACCTAGTCCTGCCTCCTGAAACCAGCGCTCACGTCCCGCCGCCCGTACTCTTACCAAATTTGAGTTCTCTAGGTCCACAGGAATCAGAGCTATAAATTTCTGCTCAAACATTCATTTCGCACATACCCCGCTCCTTGTGGGAGGAAACCCATCCTGCCACCCACCGTGAGTGTTCAAATCCTGCCGCCTGTACTCCTACTAAATTTCAACTCTCTAGGTGCGTAGAACTCGTTGTTATGAATTTCCGGTCACACACACACACACACACACACACACACACACACACACACACACACACA